TGCCCAACTCTGGCCCCAACTCTGCAGGTTTTTGGGGAATGAACCAGTGGATGCAAGATCTTTCTCTCTCTCTCTCTCTCTCTTTTTTTTTTTTGGTCATTCTGCCTTTCAAATAAAGAAATCCCTTAAAAATCCATTTTGGTCCTTTGCTTTTATTTTCTGCACTAAGTCTCAGAGGTACAGTAATTACTTTTAATCAGATAAAGAAATTCTTCTTTGTTTTAGGCTCAATACCCCATCCAAGTGATACCTTACCTTAACTTGGTTAAAGTGTCAGTCAGTCCCAAGAGACCCTCAAACTGAACGGTGGTGGGAAGACACATGAGGAGCTAACCATTCTGGGGGCTGGGAGTTGATGTCACAGCCCCTTAAATCTCAGTCAGAGATCGCTGAGACTCTGAGAGTTCTGACTTTGCATGCTGGGGTCTGTCTATACAACTCAGGACTGTTAGTACCCTCAAGACTGATTAAAGTGCCCCCGGGTAGAGCTTGGCCACACTCCTCTCCCAACGTGTTTTTTTTTAAAGATTTATTTATTTTTATTACAAAGTCAGATATACAGAGAGGAGGAGAGACTGAGAGGAAGATCTTCCACCCGTTGATTCACTCTCCAAGTGGCCACAATGGCCGGAACTGAGCTGATCCAAATCCAGGAGCCTGGAGCCTCTTCTGGGTCTCCCAAATGGGTGCAAGGTTCCAAAGCTTTGGGCAGTCCTCGATTGCTTTCCCAGCTCACAAGCAGGGAGCTGGATGGGAAGCAAGGGAGCCAGGATACGAACTGGCGCCCATAATGCATGCCAGCATGTACAAGACAAGGACTTTACTTGCTAGGCTATAGTGCTGGACCCCTCCCAAATTGCTTCTAACAAGCTTAGGACCACTGCTGTATGTCCTGAGCTGAGAAAGAAGAGAGTAAAATAGTGGAAGAAGCGAACGAGAAAGTAGGAGACCTGACTTGAGGTGCTCTGCTTGGCTGAAGTCATTGAGGGGATTTGGAAGAACCCAGAGGTTCCAACCAAACAGGAAAAGAACAGATCAAGAAAGCAACATGCTCTGAATGTACATTTTATACCAGGCACTGTCCCTTGAGATGCCCCCACTTGTCAGAATCAGGGCCCTGGAGAGAGCCCCAGTTTGCTTTATTGCCCAATGACTCTAACCAATGCCAGCAACAGGTTCAGCGCCCAAGCTGCTCACACGCACAGCCTTGCTGGTGTTGGCCACGGAGCCAACTTCTGATGTCATCATGGGCACCTCAAGTGAGAGAGACTCCCTCTCAGCTCCGTGCGGGCTGTGAGCCCAGCATGTCAGTCCCAGTGCCATCACCACACGCCTGCCTCGCCTCTAACTAGTAGGTCAGCATGGACACGGCTTCAGCCTCTGCCGAGAGCTGCTTGCTGCTGGCAGGAAGCTGCTTCTGCAGAATTAAAAACCATCAAAGTTGATCAAAGGAAGTACCGGGCAGGCTGGCGGGCAGGCCAGATCCTAATCTCTGTGAGCTGGCCTCACACATCACTGCACATGAGTCACCCCGCTGAGCTCAGCGGACATGCTGTTTGCATTAGGCTTTTACAGGCAAGCTTTGCCAGACTTGCTGCACAGAGCTGCCGGGAGGCAAGGCAGGAAGGTAGAGAACGTGGGTTAGATGTGGTTGCCCAGGTGCCAGGGGGAGGTGGTGGACTCCTCAGGTTCCAGGGAGTGGCTGTGCCTCCTGATGCCCCCAGTCTACCCGTCTTCTCAGCTCAGCCCGATGAGTCCCACCAGGATCCATGGAGCCCACAGCAGGCCCACATGTCCTTTCTCTCTTGCCAGCTCTCCAATTAAGATGTACTATTATAGGCTCACATCTTGCTTTCCCTCAACCATTTGCCTCTCAACAGGAAGGAATTCCTCTTCTCAAAAGGCAACACTTCACTACTCAGGCATCCTGCTTCCAAAGCAGCAAAGTCCAACAAAAAAGGGAGGGAAGTCAGAAAATAAAAATTCCTAAATTAAGAGCCAACCCATAAAAGTAGGGCTTCCCTTAGTGCCTGGCTGGTGTGACATCACCATGAATTACTCAATGAGAATGGTGTCAGAGCAGCAGGTTGATTGAATGTGGAAACTTTCCCCTAGCAGCAGAACTCTGCAGAGAATCTGGCCCTGCACATAGCTGCCTATGGACTGTCTCCAGGAGGGCATATGTCCCTGGGCAGAGCGCAGGTAAGGATCTTGCTCAAGCAGGATCTTGGTGCTCAGGAGCAGTGATAGAGAGAACCCGAGGGGTTGTCTTGCTTCCCTCTCTGGAAGTGATGGTAAGAGCAGGATCAAAAGCTTTAGCTTTGAATTCTGCCAAGTTTTGCTTCTGTGCATGGTAACTTTGGGAGAGCAGCCCCCGTTATTTTTGGAAGCCAAGGATTCTTGGCTTGTCGTCCTTACTCAGATTCTCTTTAGAGCATTCGGACTCATTTGTCAAGGGCATTTAAATGAAGGTGGCAGATACTTTTAAAATAAATATGACCACCAGTCCCTGCATTGCTTTTAACCATAAACCACACATTTCTAACTGTACCATCAATCAATCAATTAGTTGTCACTTTCAAAATAGATGTTTGGGGTTGCTGGCTTTTCACATCTCTTCTCAACTACCCGTAATTCTCTCAGTGGGAAAATCTGGTCTGGAACTTCTTACAATTTTCACTTTAAACTGTAAATAGAGTCAAAAGATCCTGCCCTCAGGAGCCTTCCAGTGATTAAAGTGAGAGCAGCAGCACGGCACGGTGGTTAGGATTTGACTCAGGACAACCCGTGTCTGAGCCAAGGTGCTACCACCTGCTAGCTGAATGATTTTAGAGAAACTATTTATTCAAGGGAGGGAAAGAGAGAACGCCCATCCGCTAGCTTACTTTCCAAATGACCAAGACTAGTAGGGGCTGAAGCCAGGAGCATGGAACTCAATCCAGGTCTCTCTCGTTTGTGACAGAAACCGACTCACTTGCGCCATCACAGCTGCCTCCCATGATCAGTTGGATACAGGTGCTGGAGCCAGACACCCAGGGGCTCTGATAGGAGCTGCACCACAAGCACAATCTCCTCATCTGTAAAATGGGGTGATAAGAGCTCCAACCTCACCACTGAGGGTTAAATAAGCTGACCCAAGTGACGCACGCAAGAAAATCCAAAATGCATTACAGTTGATGTGTAATTACTCTGCAATCAGTGTTATCTAGCCAACATTGGTAAAGTTTGTCAGAATCTACACCTAACCATCTTTGTTTTTGAAATTCCTCAGTACCCAGAGCTAATAATTTGCTTTCAACCAAAGTTTTTGCTTGGGGTGTTTTGCTTGCCTGGAATTGTCTTCATTCTTTGCTAGAAGACCACAAGAGAGGCGTAGGAATAGGCAATTGGTTACAAGTGACCACAAAGTGGTCTGTAACTAGAAGAGAACTCCCCAAATCCTTGAAGGTGTGCTGTATTTGGGGGCAGGCAGTTAAACCTCGCTGCCTAGAGGAGACTTGGTAGAGAGGAAGCCCCGGGTAGGCACATGAGGTAACTCAGTGCCCTGACGAGCCCCCGGCACCCAGATTCTGCCACTTCTCTGAGAAGCAGGAGGTGTGGATTACTAACAGAGGTTGTGACATTTAGATAAGTATATATACAGAGATGTGCGGTATTGCGAGTGCACAGGTGGGCTCCAGGCATCATGTACAGTGGGGAGTGGGGAGCTGAGAAAAGGGGTCTGGAATTGCGCTGTAGGAAGTAAAGGCAGCTGACAGCTCTTGCTAAGAGCAAATTAGACTGCCTGTCTCTGAGTGAGTGTGTGTCTGTGACACACAGAGAAATCTATGAGTTACTCACAGGAGACCAGAGGACCAAAGGAAGAGTGGGGGGAAAGTACTTGAGCTCATTCTGGCAGAAGGGCCCTGAAAAGAATGGAGACTGGAAAATGAGCCCACCTCCCCCACCAATGGATTACTTGGAATAATCTAACTATGTGGTGTGAGTCCCTACTGCAATAAATCAGGTTGTGAGGAATGTGCTGCTGTGGGCATTCTGAATATTACAGACTGTTTTACTTGGGGAAAGGGGGAAAGGGTTTGGTGAACTCTGTTGAATACAGATACTTTCAAGGTGCTTCCCTCTAAAACATGAGCATTCCATAGGGCCCTGGTGTTATGGCTTCTATGCCTATACCTGAGAGGCTGATACTGTATATAGGTGCTGGTTTGAGTGCTGGCTGCTCTGCCAGTGTGTGGAAAAAGCAGTATGGTATGGCCTAAGTGCTTGGACCCATGCACACACATTGGAAGCTCAGGAAAGGCTCCTGGTTTCTAGCCTTAGACTGGCTTGGCCCCAGCTGTTGCAGCCATCTGGGGAGTGAAACAGTGGATAGAAGATCTCTTTGTCTTTCCTCTCTCTTTCAAAAAATAATTCTTTAACAATATAAGCACTGTGGGTAGTTAGATGTTCTTAAAATTTTTATTTATTTGAAAGACAGAAAGAGAGAAGGAAAGGTAGAGACAAGTCACATCTTCTGGTTCACTTCCTTAAATGTCAGCTAGGAACTGAGTCTGGGCCTCCAAGATGGACACCAGCTCTTTAGCTACTTGAACATCATTTGCTGTCCTCCAGGGTGTGCATTAGCAGGAAGCTGGAAGCAGAGTGGAGTCAGGACTGGAGCCCAAGCACTGTAACATGGGATGCAGCCATCTCAGGCAAAAGGCTACTCAGAGTCTTCTCTTTGGTGAGCATGGCTCTGTTCCTAGCACCTGGAATGATATGGCTTCCCTACATTTCGCTTTGTGTTAGCTTCTTGTTGCTGGTGTAACAAGTGATTACAAGCTTATTGGCTTTCAATACCACATGTTGATTATTGTTCTGGTCTGGAGGTCAGAAGAAACCAAATCCAGATGCCAGATGGGCTGTGATTTCTCTGGGGGGTCCTGGGAGAGGCCAGTCCCTTGCCCCATTCAGCTTCCAAAGGGGCCCTGCCCCCTTGACCTCTGCTCTGTCTTCACTTGTCTCTCTCCTGCCTCCCTCTTTTCTCTATAATAATTCTCATGGTGATTTCATGCTCACTAGAATCATCCAGGCTAATCTCACCAGTTCAAGATGCTTCCTCACATCTGACCAGTCCAGAGAACGCAACATGTCCATGCGGTCCCAAGGTGGGAGCACTCCTGGGGATCACTGTACTACCTGGTAGGCCCCTGAGGCATCATCAGTTCCACACTGAGGGACAATGGCAGCTCTGAGTCACAGGCCAGGAACCGCAGTGAGCAGAGGGAGGCTGGGTGCAGAGGCAGAAGCAGGTGAAAGCCGAAGAATAGGCTGCAGTGTGGACCGGCACTGGTGAGGAGGAGCCAACTCCCTTTGTGCAAACAGACAAAAGGAAGGTGATTTCTGGCAGGAGGGCAGGAGGACAGAGTTTGCTACCACAGCAGTCTAAGGGCTGTCCACACTATGGCACCCTCCCAGCTTGAAGGTTGAGAATTAGAGACAATATATAAAGCGCAGTGACTGGCATATTGCAGGTGCGCAGTACAATCAGCCTCATGTTTTATTAATGCCAGAGGGAATGAGGTCAGGGGTAATCCCAGGGCCCCAGCTGCCTAGGGAGGTGGCTCACACCCCTGGGGAAGCAGGAAGACTTGTCAGAAGGGAATAAGGTGTGAGGCAGGTGTACAGAGGTAGAGTTTCAAGTGCTCTTTATCTGAACTTCTTCCCACACAAGTGAGGAGGAAGCATCTGGCCGGTTCTTTAATGAAACTTGGAACTCAACTGCTGCAGTCAAGAAGGAAATATTTCTGTGGTTTTTCTGTGGGAAAAGAAGGTAATAAATCTTTTCTGTTGTTGAAGGAACACCTTTCAGTGGTGGCGCTCTGAGAAGGATATGGGGTTGTTAACATGTGTGTTCTTAGATGTTTGTCAGTGTCCGGCCATTGGGAAATGTCACAAATGCTCAAGGCAGGGACACATTCCAGAAACAAAGGATGTGCTATGAGCTGGTAGTCCTGGGCTTCCCAACAGCCACAGGAGACGCAGACGAGCTAAGACGCAGACATTCCTATCCCAACTGTTGAGTTCCTGGGGTCAGTGTCAGTTCTGGAAAGCACATCTATGCTTCCTCCAAGGACTTCCTGTGGATCCCTTCTCTGCTTTGTAATCCGTGTCCACTTGGATTGGCTGTGGGTGGCTGAAGAAAAGGGCAAGATGTTGCTCCCAAGGGAATAATTCATTCTGCATAAATGCCACAAAGCCCTGATGAATGCCTAGTACTGTTCCAGGTGTGGGGCATACAGCAGTGGCCAGACAACAGCTAATACCCATGCCTCAAAGTGGGACAAGGGGGTAGAGAGATAAATAAGAGGAATAAAGGGCTGCAGTAGCAAGTGGCTGTGCCACCACATGCAAGGTGGTAAGGGAAGGCTCCCCAGGACTGAGGTCTTTGTGCAGAGATCTGAAGCAGCGGTTTGGGCTAAGGGGCAGGAGATGCAGATATCTGCCAGGACCTCCAAGTGAAGGATGTATGGGAAATGATGTGTGGGTCAATGCTGGCTGAATCACTGACATCTGTCCATCTCCTCACCCAGAGCCCTCACCCACAGCTGGGTTCCTTTGAAAAAACACATCCATCTCCAGCATGCTCCCGCACCAAGCCATGAGACCCTGGAGGAAGACAACAACAAGAGGGACCAGGGTTTTCTGAAGGAAACAACAGACACATGGCCGTAGCCTAGGGCTGACGCAGGCCTTTGGGTTGGGACCCTGGGGCTGCACAGGCAGCAGCCCAGAGCCCTAATAGGATCTCCCTGGCTTAGTTTAGGCTTATCACTCTGCCCTAAAGGTAGCTGTGTCCACACAGGCCCATCTTCACTGCAGGTTAAGTTACCTCCACTTAGTTCCTCTGCATAACTCCCTGTAGCACGAGACTCACGTGGATAAGATGCAGATGGCAAAGCCAGAACGCACAGCAAGCAGAAGCAGAGTCGGCTCCAGGTACAAGCAGCAGTGCCCTTCTGCTCCATATGCATACAGGGCCCACTGCGGAATCATCTTTTTCTTCTTTCTTTCTTTCTTCCTTCCTTCCTTCCTTCCTTCCTTCCTTCCTTCCTTCCTTCCTTCCTTCCTCCCTCCCTCCCTCCCTCCCTCCCTCCCTCCCCCTCTCTCTCTCTCTCTCTCTTTTTCTTTCTTTCTTTCTTTCTTTCTTTCTTTCTTTCTTTCTTTCTTTCTTTCTTTCTTTCTTTCTTTCTTTCTTTCTTTCTTTTCTTTCTTTCTTCCTTCCTTCCTTCCTTCCTTCCTTCCTTCCTTCCTTCCTTTCTCTCTCTCTCTCTTTTTCTCTCTTTCTTCTTTCTTAAGGGACTATCTTTTCAACAAACTTGGGTGTTTCTCTTTTGATGATGCTTGTAATAGGTGGTAAGTGATAGGTGGAGGAAGGCTAAAAAAAAAAAGCAAACAAAAAAGCAAACAAAAAAAGTCAGGTGGTTTTTAGAGGAGGGAATGAGGCTTGAATTATTCAGGGGAACTGAACAAAGTTGACACCACTCTGCTTCCGGCTCTGAAAGCTCCTAGGCCACAGCCTTGCGCATACCCTGCAAATAGCAATGTACCCAGGGCCAGGACATTTCTTTGTTTCCCTTGGGGAGTTTGTGAATTTCCAAAGTGTTTCTCTGCTGAGCTATCAGGACATCAATGGTGTAAAGAGTCCTAGGGTCATGCCTTGCACTAAATATGTATGTTCCCTAGGAACCAGCACATGCTAACTAAATACTAGTCTCTAAAGTTTATATCTAAAAAAGAAAGTGTTAGTTAGAGGTGCACACTGAAGTATTAATAAGTGAAATGATGTTGTGTCTGGTACTTGCTTCTAAAAATATCAGTAACGAAAGAACAGTGAGCACAAGTGTAGGAGTGGATGGCCACAGACGAAACGAGAGTGACACCTGGGAAGCTTGTCAAAGCTTGACTGTAGGTCCCGGGGGGTTCATCATTCCATTCTCTCATTTCATGTTTGAAATTTTTCATGTTAAAAATTTTTAAAAGGGGACTGGCACTTTGGTGTAGTAGGCCAAATGTCTATGTTTGATGCCAGCATCCAATATGGGTGATGGTTCAAGGCCCAGCTGTTCCATTCCAACTAAGCTCCCTGTTAAGTTCTTGGAAAGGCAGCAAAGGATGGCCCAAGGTCTTAGGCCTCTGCAGCCATGTAGAAGACCTAGAAGAAGATCCAGTCTCCTGCCTTTGGATTAACTTAGTTCTAGCCAATGAGGCCATTTGGGGAGTGAACCAGCAGATGGAAGAGATCTCTCTCTCTCTCTCTCCTTTCTCTCTCTGTCTCTCCTTTTGTTTTAACTCTACCTTTAAATAAAAACAAAATAAAAACAAATTAAAATAGGGACAGATATTTGGTATAGTGGTTAAGACCCCACTTGGAATGCCTATGCCCCACTGGAATGCCTAGGTTCAAGTCCTGGCTCCCCTTGCCTTCCAGCTTCTTGCTAATGTGCACCCTGGGAGCAGGTGATGGCTCAAGTATTTGGATCCTTACCACCCATGTGGGAGATCTGAACTGAGTTCCCGCTCAGCCTTGGCCTCATCCAGTCTCAGCTAATGTGGGTATTCAGGAAGTGAACCAAAAGATGGAAGATCTCTGTCTCTCTCTGATTTTCAAAAGAAATAGAAGCCAATTTTTGTAAGTTAGGATAAAGAGTTTATATCAGTGTCTGAACCATTTTTCCCTCTTGACTGTTATTACATAATAAAGCAGGGCTCCTAACATGGGGAATTTGATGATGGTAGTTTTTGCAGTGTGACTTCCACAAAGAGAAAACTTTGATGGATTATTTCTGGAGAGTGGAGCAGTCTGGGTTTCCAAGAAAAGTGATGTTGAAATGAATAATGAAGATTTCCTGCTTAGTGATGCAGCCCATGGGTCTCTTGACAAATGTTCTGGGAAACTATGGAAGGGGACAGTGTCTCGGATGCAGCTCAGCACTTACTTATGCAACATAGGAAAGACCTGCACACTCGCTGCACTGTCACTCAGTCCCTGGAGGGCAGTTGTGGTATTTCCTTGTACCTGACACTCAGGGCTACAGACCAGACTGTGCAGCTGTGGCAGATCAGGCCCAGTCCTCGCTTTCTAGACCTGGTCTCCCCAGAGAACAGCGTCTTGCAGGGATTGCCACTAAGGGAGGTGTGTGCAGCCCGGTCAGACAGTCCTGCAGCCAGCCGCCCAGCTCCTCACTAAGTCAAGCAAGAAGGGCTGGAATGCAACACGGAAAGTTTTCTCAGGGCCCCAGTCACTGGGCCTGCAGGGTGGGGTGGAAATTGGCCTCTGGGTGGCCACACCCAGCTCTCTATCCATTCTGTCCAGAGACTACATCCTCAACAGCTGCAGTCTGTGTTTGCCTTTCAACTTGGCTGCCTGGACTCAGCTCCCAGGGCCCAATTTGCTGGAGACAACTGTGACCCTGGCGTTCCAATCATACCTGACCTGAGCCCCTTCCCCAAGGCCCCTCCTGCCATACATATTGGATGCCTTCATCGCATTTTCAGGACAAGCTAATCTCAGGAAATGGATCTTTGGTTCACTCCATGACTTTGTTTGGAGTTTTCAGAATTATTCCAGAGGGTAATCTCTTTAATGTGAGAAGAATTGAGGAATTGACAATTTTTTTTACAAGTGGGTTTCAGTGGGCTAACACGATGAAAATGTATGATTTTTTTTCTTTTTAAAGATCTATTTATTTATTTTGCAAGTCAGAGAAAGAGAGAGAGAGAGAGAGAGAGAGAGAGAGGCAGACACAAAGCTCTTCCATCTGCTGGTTCACTTTCCAGATGATTGCGACAGCCAGGGTTGGGCCAGGCTGAAGCCAGGAGCCAGAAGCTTCATCCAAGTCTCCCACACGGGTGCCAGGGTCCGAAGCACTTGTTCCACGTTCAGTTGCCTTTTTCAGGCCATTAGCAGGGAGCTGGATCAGAAGTGGAGCATCCAGGATGCAAACTGTTGCCCCTATGGGATTCCAGTGTTGTAGACAGTGGCTATCCCTTACCATGCTACAACACTGACCCCAGATGCACTGACCTTATACAGCTTGGACCATTCTGGATATGAGAAAACAGACAGCAAGTGGCTTTAGGAAGTATCCTGACCTCTCTGCACCGTAACTAATTTTACCAATCGATCCATGACATGGGCTGATAACTTTACTGCCTCTTTAGGGGTTCATCATCCCCTGAACTCATTCAAACTGTTCAAACATGATCATCACAGTCCTGGAAATTTCTACCATGGAAATATTTCCCCAAAAAGGGAGAAAATCATTATATGCACGAAATTTTTATGGCAGAACACTTACAGTAGCGAAAAGAAGAAACTTAAGACACAGCAGTTGGTGCAATGGTTGAACAAATGATGACATATCCATGGAAAACCAGGCAGCCACAAGAAAGACAGACAGGAGGATTATACAGGGATAGGGAAAGTGCTGATGAAGTGATATTGAATGAAAAGGCAGAAAACAAAAATTATATGGACATTACAGTTAGAAAAAGTATTTTTACAACTGACTAAAGACCTGAAGTAAATTTGGAGAAAAAAAAAGTGATTGGAGTCAGCACTACGGTGTAGTGGATAAAGCCACCTTCTTTGGAGCAGGCATCCCACATGGGTGACAGCTCAAGTCCCACCTGCTTCATTTCCAGTCTGACTTTTTTATTAATGGATCAGGAAAACAGTGGAGGATGATCTTTGTATTTGGAAACTTGCATCCAGATTGGAGGTTTGGAAGAAGCTCCTGGTTTCTGCCTGGCCCAGCTCTGTTGTGGTCATTTGGGGAATGAACCATTGGATGAAAAATATTTCACTATATATAACTGTGACTTTCAAATAAAGAAATAAATTTTTGGTTTTTTTAAGATTTATTTATTTTTACTGGAAAGTCAGATATGTAGAGAGAAGGAGAGACCGAAAAGAAGGTCTTACGTCTGATGATTAACTCCCCAAGTGACCTCAATGGCTGGAGCTAAGCTCATCCAAAGCCAGGAGCCTGGAGCTTCTTCTGGGTCTCCCACATGGTACAGGGTTCCAAGGCCTTGAACCATCCTCGACAGCTTTCCCAGGCCACAAGCAGGGAGCTGGATAGGAAGTGGAGCCACTGGGATTAGAACTGGTGCCCATATGGGATCCCAGTGCATGCAAGGTGAGGATTTAGCCACTAGGCTACTGCACTGGGCCCTGGGTTTTGTTGTTGTTGTTGTTGCTTTTTTTTTTTTTTCAAAAGTTGTGTTGTAAGTGGCGAAGATATGAGTGATGTTTTCTTCTCAAATACTTTCAGTAACTAAGAACTGCTTTCAAAAGAAAAAAAAATTCACATACACACACAACCCAAGAGCTCTAACTTGTGGCTGTCTTTCACTTCTGTCAGTAACCGAGAAAATATTGAAAAAATATACAGGAAGTCACACATCAGTGACTGTGAAGTCTTGAGGTCACAAGGTGATTTACTGATAATGAGAGGAGTCAGGTGAAGGTATCTGAAAATATTATAGAACGCAGGTCAAAGGCGGCAGTTTTTGTGAGAGAATTTTCATTGTTAAACATTTAGGGAAGACATGCACTCCGTAGATTCTTTGGTCTGTATTGAGGCTGAAGGTACTGGGGGGTCAGAGAGAGAGAGTGTGTGCCCCAGGGGCGCCTTGTTAGCCTCTGTCTTGTCAGTGTCCATCGTCTTTAACACATTCTTGATCCATTTCTTTGGGTCTATTCTTTCCTTGGAGAAATGCTCAAATCACTCCTGATTTTTAAAAGTTAACTTTCTTTGTTAAAGATTTGTCTATTTATTTATTTATGGAAAGTTAGATATACAAAAAGAATGAGAGACAGAAAGATCTTTCATCCATTGGTTCACTTACTTCCCAAGTGGCTGCAACGGCTGAAACTGAGCTGATTTGATCCAAAGCCAGGAGCCATGAGCTTATTTCAAGTCACCCAAGCTTTGGGCTGTCCTT